TTGCATAGCCCTCGCCGGTGCTGCCACAGCAAGGGAGAGGTTTGACCTGGAACTGCTCAAGCGGTATTCCGCTTTTAAGAGGAATAACCCGCTGTCCCTCACGGCAGTTCTCTGAAGAGCGTTTGCTGCCCGCCTCTTACAAACCGTTAATTAAGGCTCAGTAACGGAGCCATTCATGTAAGGAAGCAGCCACTTGTGGTCAGGGGGATGGGGTTTTGCCTTGCACTACCCAGCTGCACTGCAGGAACCCCCTAAGCCAGCAGTGCCGAAATAACAAAGCTGGTGTTGGCTGTCAGCCTGAGCAGCTTGCCCAGCTCATTCGTTTGTAAGGTTTGCCAGCCCAGAAGAGCACCCGGGTGGCTTTTCAGTCCCCTGTCTTAGGCTGAGTACAGCTGGATCGGTCAGAAATAGCTGTATAAGCGGCCCCAGGGCTGCCAGGCTGGAAGCGCCTGGTTCACCCAGGCAGCCTCTGCCGCAGAGCAGCTCCTCTCCCAGGAGGGAAGATCTTTGCAGGTTCTTTGTTATAGAATAAGCCAGTTCCTTCTTCTTTTCCCGTTTCCTTGGCTCTGTGACCAGAGGACAAAACATCAGATGCTGCCTGTCACTAAGTCCCTCATATGTACTTTTTTTTTTTTTTTTTTTTTCCCCCTAAACCTGTCCTCAGATCTTTTTTTATTCACCCATCCTGCAGTCTGATGGCCCAAAGCTGTCCTAGCATTTGACCTAGAGAAGCTCAAGCCAAAAAGATGGAAAGTTATTCCTGGGGTTTACATTTATATTTATGTTGTCATGGTAACAGATTTTTTCTCTTGGGTTGCTCTTTCCTTGGTTGTTTTTGGCAGGAGCGTCTCAGACTGTGGCACTGTAACCTGACGTGTTTCTGTCCATACTGCTGCCAGCCTGGCTCGTGGGGTTCCGTGGTGTTGCTCTGACCTCCTTCAACTCCCGCCGGCCCCCCAGAGATCCCTTTGGGAGCCCGCCGCGAGGCTCGGGCTGGGAGCTGGCTGGGAGCAGGCTGGTAGCCCAGCGTAATTAGCTCTATCCCAGCCGAAACCGGGACACCGTGCCGTTGGAGAAAGTGTCACCTCAAGTACTGCCAGAGGTTGCAGTGACAGCATGTCCTCTTCTGGACGTTCTTTCCTTCCTATCCACCAGTCTCGTTTCCGTGTTCACATGTATGCCATGGTACGTTGTCTTTACCTGCTCTATTCTCCACCGAGCTGTTTGTTCTTACCCTTTTCTTACCACGTAAGCGCCTCCGTGTTGGTTCCTTGGCAGATGTTTTCAGCATCTCCTGTTGAAGGTAGCTCGTCGCTGAGGGTGGGCAATGGCCCCCTGCAGTCTGATCAATCTTCTCCATGAATTCCCACTATTCGTAGTTTTAGTTGATGGTGGCTCCCGCTGCATTGCGTGCGGGGCAGTCTCACTGATTTCCAGCTCTCTGTAACTGAGCTCTCTCGTGGAGTTCCTCACCTGACGCTTTCTTTTTCCGAGCAGGCGTTTGCATCCAGTTCCCGGAATAGTTAAAATGATGTTCTCTTGACGTTTGTCACTTTCCTTTCTCTGTTTTCCCTTTCACAGCCACATTTCTGAGGTACACATGGTGAGACTAGATCACCCGTTTGTGGTAGGCTTTGTTTTTTCTTGTTTTACTAACCCATTGTCTGGCTTCTGTGACTGTTCCGCTATTGTGACTGTCCCGCTAATTTGACTAATGAGTTTCTAAGAGTATTCCTTCACTTAGCAAATTAGATCCCCTGTCTCAACATCAGCCCTTCCTGGAAAGCTGCCATCTAACTCATGGCCCAGAGCATCTGAGGTCCGTTGGTCAGTTCCTGTGCTTGTCCGTCTGTCTGTGCTCGGCTGGCACGAGCACAGGCTGCGACCCCACGGCCACTGTGCTGCCTGTCATCCAGCAGCTCTGCTAGCAGGGTGCGGTAATTAACAGTCTTTGCTTAATCAGTGTTC